TCCAAAGAGATATTCTTTATCAAATTTAAAGGGGTCCTATTATGCTCTTTTACAAAGTCTTGATTTTGTTTTGGGGGTGTACTAGAACAGGCTCTCATACTAGGTTGTTCGAAAAACACATTATTTTTCACATATTTTACATTATTACAACACCTCTCTCCCCAGTCTGGCATGAATGGCTCGAATAGTTCCTGTATCAAATCAAGGCCCGCCTTCTGAAATACGAAATGTGCTGTGATTGCTTAGCTGGGTCATTGTGTGTTGTGATTGGCACCACTCGGCGCCTGGTCTGGAAATGTCATGCCCCCGCCTGCTAGCTTCAGTGTAAATATTGCGTCAAAATCAAATCAATTTGAGCAAAGGCGGGGCATAGAGGAGAAACAATAATGTACGGTATGTGGAAAATAATGTGTTTTTTTAACCTTAAACCGCATAAACACATTTCATTACACCAAATACACAAAATAATGTTCTTTTTAGCAACATCATATGACCCCTTTAATCAATTTGTTAGGATTACCTGAATCATTTTTATGGCAAACTGGACAGTTTTAGTTACTTGCATAAGGCTGGATCAAGAAAGCAAATATTGAAATTAAGTGGAATTTTATGAGTTTCTGAGTAAAGGGAAAGACCTGCTAGTGTTTCATTTTAAGTTACATTTGACATTTAAAAGAGTTTCTGTCATGTTGAAGTTGAAGTAATTACTTTTATAAGACATCAGATTTACAATTTTTGCCTCAGGCCATATAGAATATTATTAAGTCTTGAGGGTGAAATTCTTTGACTCAGGATTTAATTTAACACAGGAATTACCCTGCTAGATTAAGTGAAGCTGTTTACTAATCACTCCCATCAGAGTCTATATGGGATTCTTATCTATCTGTGACAGCCCACACCAGCTTTAATAAAGCCATAAACAGTGGGAATCTGGGAAATGCACATTTATGCGTTCCAGAGTGGAACATTCCAATTGAATTACACTGGGTTACTGATTACTCAATACAAGAGGAAATACCTTTGACTTGTAATACAATACAGCTGAGAGCACTATGAGCACTAAGTTGAACATTAGTCGCACATAACACTTAATCTCTAAGGCATGTTTCCCAAAAGCATAATTTTCTGTGTTATGGGTAAGAATACTGGAACTTTCTACTTGCTTTTACAGTTTATCAGAGAGAGAGGAACACAAATTAATCGATATGAATTATTACTACAAAGCCATCGTTGACTACATTTGAGAATAATTATTGCTCAATAGAAAGAATCTGTGCAGGCCTGAATTTGTGATGTGTTCAACAGTGAGTCTGTGGCATTACTGTAGGGGTTCCAGTTCCACCAATTATTGTTTGATTTCAAACTGTAAAATTTTATGAAAAGCTGTGTTTAAAAAAACAGAACAGTAAAATAACTGCTCCACCTCTCTGAAGCTGAATACCTTTTGAAAACATGGACATGAACAGTCAAGTCGTATTCACAACTAGGACACTCTGAGACAATTTTAATAGCCAAATTTCCGAGTTGGGCATGCCATAAACTTTAAAAATGGCAGACGGGAACCATTGCTGTAATGACTAAGTTTTATTAGTTTTTCCTAATCTACACTCTACATCTACACTGCTTTCTGTAGCATTCATTTGACTGAAATTTCAGAATCATCAGCAAGCTGAATATCTATAAATGTGCAGTTAATGCTTATATGGTTACCAATTTATTGGAAGAGAGCTGAACTGGATGATGACATCACTGAATCATCAATGAATTGTCTTTAACTGGAAAAATGACTCTCTGTTATTGTCCTCTTGCATTATTGACACACTATTTTCTTGTTTGGCACTAAAACTGCTTACAGCTGCTGTGACACAATCTATATTGTATAAAGCGTTATATAAATAAAGGTGACTTGACTTGACCAATGAACACTACATCATATTCAAAACCTGTTTAATATTGCCTAAATATCTTCTACACCTTTTGGCTTTAATAAGATTTCAGGCAAAAATGAACGTTTGGATGATCACTGTCCTTTCCAACAACAAAGCACAAAGCACAAAGCACAAAAAACTCATAATTACAAGTTCACAGTAGGACATTTCTCATAGCATGTGAAGGCAGCATAATGAACGAGCAAACAAACAAATCAGAATAAACAGACAAACAAACTAATGAACATATGCTAAGAGTATAAAACCTAAACTTCACAGGTTAAGTGACCAACCAAACAACACAACTAAATCTGCAGATTCCTTTTTAATGATAAACATCACAAGTAATGAAGACATCTATGTTAGTTCTACCTTTACTGATTTTACTGTGTGTAATGTAATGCCTTGAAAACATAAATTTCAGATATTTACTATTTAAAACGATATAAACTGATTATACATGCAGTTTCACGAGCTTGCATTGAGAGAATACATGCAATATTTGTACTTTTAAAGATTAAGGATTAAAAGGTGAATGTATATGTGATCTTTCAATTATATCCACTTCTTACTCAAACCAAAAAGATGATTTAGCAATCCAACTAAATCATCTCTATAAAGCCCTTTAAAACAGACGGCATTCAGCCCATGTAAACCAGTCATGTTAGAAATTCTCTATAGCCATTCACCAACTTGCATGTGATTACAGTGACCTAACACCCTCATGCGCTTCTAGTTTTCAATAATTACACGGCCAAGAAACCGCTCACGCTGAAAATTGAGCTCTGGTCACACTGAAACATAATTAACAGCTAAAAAAAAAAAATTCACAACACACCTGTGGTGGGCCTTGAAATATCCACAACACTAGACACTAAATATAATATGCATCTTATTTATTTGCATTTTATTTTACGGGGTTTACTGTGACTGAATACAGACACTCTCCTCTATCTGCTCATCTGATAACCATGGTGACAGTGGTAAAGTGGCCCTACAGTAGAGGAATGCACCTGATCGTAACCATGGCACCACTTCTGTTCCCTTCCCACCCGGTGCAGTGTTGCAAAAGAGCTCCTAGATTGTGTGCACGTATGTGTGTGTTTGTGTGCGTATGTATTCCCTGTTGCACAAGCCTGCTCAAGGGGACATGGAGCATAGTAATTCACTGTCAACATCTCCTCACAATGGCTGAGCGGACAGCTCCTGCCCACTCGCATTTGTTTACGCCAGCAAAGCCAGATGCATCACAAACTTATACACATCAATTATTCATATGAACAATCTCTAAGTGCACAAACAATCGATAATTTTCCCAAACAAGTTTTTTTCTGCTTCATTAAAGCCATCATTTTTCAGCTAAACCAAAAACAACAGGCTGTTGTTATGAGATATGAAAATAATCATTCTCCGAATAGCTTGCTTCTCGTGGGAGAGTGAGTTCAAAAGGCAAATCACCAGTAATCCTATAGTATGTAGATGATTTATTAATATAAATACATTTTACACTCTGAAATTAGAAATTAGCCAGATCAATCATAACAGTATTTTAAAAGATGTCAAGCTTGTGTATGATAAGAGACTTCAAATCATCAAGAAACTTAATTCAAATGATCATATGTGTGTGAAAATGTGTGGAGCTTTGCAATTTAATTTCAATTTAAATAAATAAATAATCTAAAAGGTTTTTTTGAAGCACTATTTTTAGCGATAGTAATCAATTCATTTACCGTATTGACCTGAATATAAGACAATGTTTTTTTCTTGGAAATACATCTGAAAAAACGCGGTCGTCTTATATTCAGGGTCTAGACTTTGACATGTCGATAATACACCCACAACAATAGGTGGCGCCAAATACGCATAAAACGAGTGTGCCATGAAATACGTAACGTAATGCGTGTTGTAAAGATCGCAATGTAAAAACAAAAGAAAAAGAAAACCTTACAGCTGCATGAGTCGTGACTGTCACGTTAGCCTGATGGCACCAAACTCCCTTTGTGATTTTAAAACGTAAGACAGTACCCAAATTTGAAGACTACAGTAAGATTTAACTTGAACTTGAACTTTAATTTTGGTAGGCTATTATTAGATGGATAGCCTAAATGTCCTAATTCAGATGGGCTACCTGTTTTTTTTTTTATGGTATATCAAAAAGTGTATATTTTTTAAATGTGATTGTTGGTATATTTTACCAGTTTTTACCATACTTTCAAAACAAAAATTAAAATATGCAATATGAAAATAATTGAAGACAAAATGTGTTTTACTGAGAAAAAAAACAAGATTTGGTTTTTAAAAAGCCTTTTTCCAAAAGGTACATCTGGAAAAAGGGGGGTCGTCTTATAATCAGGATCGTCTTATATTCGGGCCAATACGGTAATATAAAAACAACAAAAGTCAATGATAAGTCTAGTGTGTGATCAGGTTTTCCTACATTGTGAAGACTAAAAAAAAAAAAAGTAAACCTGAATAAGAACGGTTTAATAAACATACCAAAGAACATACCGTTTTATGGATAGAAAATATCATTAGTTATGTATGTAATTCACTGGAAAGCCCCCATCATGATATGAAAACAAACGCGTGTGTGTCATCGGTTTACCGTTTGACTATGACACACAGGGGGGGGGGTCATTACGAAATCCACCTTTAATCAAACGGCAAAGCAATTAATTTCACTTCTTAAATTGTAATCCATCTCAGCAAAGCACCACACAGTTATTCCACAACAAAACAAAACTTATGTTTTAACTAACAGCTGGTGGGAGAAGCGTTGTGGATAGCGTTTGTTTTGGTGCGAAAGAAAGTGAAAGCTAGAGAAACTCCGAGAGTAAAAGTACGGTTGAAATATATACAGTTTTCCATTATAATATCCACATATAATACACCTCATAAACACACACTTACGGATGATATTTCTGGAAGAAACCAGGTTATAACCTGGTTTTGGAGCCAAAATGTCACGCGTAATTGCGTCTTCTCCAAAATGTACCATTAAAACACCACACATAATATCAATAAAAAGGCAGTTGTGCGTAAAGGTGTGAACGGTACTTAAACGTTCCTCACCTGCACGAGACTGTAATCTCAACTTTTGTAGCAGGAATAGTGGCGTTGAGCGGGTCGAATTCTCCTATCGTCGCCATATTCAGGAAACCGCAACTGCTCATGCTGTTCATGATGAGGAGGTTTCTTATCTTTAACCCTTTTAGACGGAAGAGGACGGACGCTCGCGCCGCTTTACGCGAGGGAATTCATGGGCGATTTCGAAAGATTGCAAGGAGGAAAGCAGAGCTTCTGTCAGACCATAACAGAGACCGCGTCCCCTCGGCTCTCCATTTGAGAGAGTGTGAATGTGTTTTAGAGAGAGTGTGTGGAGCTGCATGCTATGGGCGAAGGAACGATGCCACACTTGGAGAATTCTTCGCTGTGAATTCATCTGAGACTCAAAACAGATTTAACACCGACAATGCCGTGACAGATACAACAACAACAACAGTTCAAAAGCTTCTTGTTCTTAATGTAATTCTGCTTCTTGTTATAAATAATAATAATAATAATTATTGTTATAGAATATAATCATTATTAAATAGTTCATTGTTGTATAGCCTACAACTGTTGTATAATGTAATTATTATATCACCTATGGCATAGTTATAGTATTAGGCTATAGTATGAATGTTATTAAAGCAATATTAATAGTGTATATATATATATATATAATAATATTATAATGTAATACATAAACATTAACATAAACATGCTATATTCAATAAAAATAAATGTTGTTATATAATTATAATATTATGTATATAAATAGCCTATTAAAAGCAACAACAACAACAATAATAATAATAATTGTAATAGCAATATTTATCATTTTTGAAGTATGTTGTACAGTGTCATTATTTCATTATTGCTTTTTCGATAATGTAACAACATTTAGCATCAAACATTTAACCTCATTGTTTCTGTTCATTTAAGATGAATTTTAGTTTTGATTAATTACTACAGATTGGTCTGTGATTATGTTGGTAATGATTAAATTAATGTCACATGCATGTTTTTTTTTTTGTAGATTAAGTAACATTAATAATAACACAATGCATGCTTATGTATATAATTACTGTTAAAGGGCACTTTATGATCAGCTGATTCAATCTTTCTATAACGTTCTTTCACAAACTGAAGTGATAAATATGGTATTGGGCATTCAGGACGTCATTTTAAATGTCTTACACAACTGCAGCGTTTTAATAAACGTCTTTTCAAGCAATATAGTGACTTAATAGGACTATACCATTAAAGCTCATTGGATATCGTGTCATGTGACTAAACATACTGTAATGATGCAGTGAGTTACCAAAAATGCATAGGCTAAACATTGTATTTAAGCCATTCCAACTACAGCTGTAGTTCCACAACTACTAATTTAATGTCTTCAAAATTAACACACACACACAATGTATATTTCCATGTGAAACCTAAACCGCTTACACACTGTAAAAAATGACCCCCTGCGTTACATTTCAAATTTGATGTTTATTTGTTGAAATAACTAGTAAGTACTGAAACAGATTTCAGTACTTCAATAGGTTGGTATATTAACATTATATCAGTTAATGAAATTACGGTATTTAACTGTAAATTTAAGTTAAAACCGTAAAACCTAAAACGTTGCTACCGTATTTTTTATGGTAAAATTCCGGCAACCACAGCTGCCGTTTTTTTACCGAATTTTTTTTACAGTGCATCCTTGCAACTCAATGCACAAACAGAGATGAGTTCATTATGTTGCATTGTTCTCAAATGAGGCATGTTGCATTGACTCTCTTTACAGTTGCTTTGAATATAACCAATTATTAGACATGGGTAGTCATGATGAGTGTCGTGTTGAATTTATATGGATATGCTGAAGGCCGTGTCAGGTTACTCGTGGAAAAACTCTAATTTCAGGGATCAACAACTGTGATTATTGATTTATGTATTCAGTTATTGATTACCAATTTATATTGATTACCAATTGGGGAAGTCGTGGCCTAATGGTTAGAGAGTCGGCTTGGATAGACAAAGGTTGCGGGTTCGAGTCTCGTACCGGCAGGGATTGTAGGTG